TTAATGATATGGAACCGCTCATTTGAGCTTGACTTCAATCAAGTTCATCCACACCATGGCCAGTCGAGAGGGTCTTGTCGATACGGCTGTCAAGACGGCTGAAACGGGTTATCTTCAGCGATCGACGGTTGGCCAAAAGCTACATATGGTGCAAACTGGTTCGATCCCGTGACCAGGAAAATCATATACAAACCTGGAGACATTGCCCGTCATTGTTGGAACGCAAATCAAAATTAAGCCACCTGTGGAGGAAATTTTGAAGAAGTCTGTTATCGCATCATCGAGGAATTGATAAGGAAATGGTGTGTACATCCTACAAATTTTGACTACGCTAGTGCTGGATAATGCTATGAAAAATATAAGCTGGTCTAACAAGGGCTAACGGACCAATACGTTTTTGATTGAGGATGGCATCATTTTGAAAAATTCCCACTGGTTGCCCTTGATGATAAATATGGAAACGCAAACAATATCATCATTATCAAGCAAAAGGAATCCAGGATGCAACTCGATGAACCCCCTCACATTCTCGCCCACATGCTTTAACCAAAGGTTACCCACTGGAGGGTTTATTCCAGAATATGCTCCTTATTTGTGGGACTAAATATTTTGTACTGTCGTGGGTATTCGATTTCAAAGCGTACAACGAGGGATCAGAGCAGGATCTTCTGTGAGAGTTGAGCTACATTTGCAAGTTTGTTAGGCAGAGTAAACAATAAAGATAAAAGGCTAATTCTAGGGGGTGGCCAGATTCGAATACTGATCTTGACTAGAATCGACCGGGATGGTAATTCTCAAATTTCCCTTGCGTTTTCCCTCGGATATTCTTACCAGTCATTTACCTCAATTGAAATTGGTTTCGATGGGATATCCACAGGACTTTATAGGTATGTCCACATAATTATGAATAAAGATCCAGTCTTCTGGGGGAAGCCAAAAGTTATCAACCACACATATTCCATCAAACCTGGATTTGTACGATTGCCTGAGTGCAATAGTATAGGATTTATAGGAACGGATCATTCCAGTTAAAAATGCAAATACATTCTTTTCCACGAGTCCGACATCAAGCACATCCCCTTCACCAGATCTGGTTATTTTGCAGATGCATCTCTGTCATCTTTCTTCTGTTAACTAGCTCGTATCAAGGGACTCCAGAGCGAGCCAACTGTAAGGCCTTGCTCATTACTGAAAATTTGATTTGAGGCTTTATTAAAAGCTGGCTCGAAGATGTTGCTCCTAGTGTGGGGTTGAATTCCCGCCCGTTCAAATTCTGGGTCACTTTGATGGGAAGAATGTTTTAGGGAGCAGGTGGCAACTTAATCCATCATCGATCGGGCTACGCCTTCGTTTCTGTATCAGTTGTTTAAAGGGACATCGAGCCGGACGGGTTGAACACCGTACAGGATTGATAGCTTCCACTTCTTCTTCCACCTACTGAATGCTTGCCTTGATCGATCAGAGAAATTGAGAATGTAAATACAATAAAAATAGGTTACAATTTTCAGGGTTGCAAAATTTATGGGATATTGACGCATTGATAGGCACACTTTGATTTGAGCGACCTTCTACTTAGAACGAGGAAACGGTAGCCACTACTCTACTGATTTCGTCTTGTTGTTAGACAGAACCAGTGTTGTGGAATAATGAATCTAATACGTCGTTTATAAAGCATTTACAACGCATGAAATCAAAATATGGACGCATAGTGGTATATGAGCTATTTTGCTGACTGTATTCACCTTTATACAGAAATATTGTAAATCAATACAATGAAATCTAATAATGGAGCTAGAAAGCATTTATAAGACGTCATGTTATTAAATCAATTGATAACAATCGATTTAAAGCGTGAATGTATGTGCAAATTACACTGATTCAGTTTGTTATTGGATTAAACTTCTGGTGTGGAATCAGGAAGACAGTCAACGTTTATACAGCTTGAGCTTGAGCTTGATTGACCGCCCCCGGTTGCTACTCTGTTACTGCCAGATCAGCTGTAATTACACAGAGAACCAATAGACGATGCTTGGGACAAGCAATCATCCTCAATGTGTAAAAACTGGTGATCTTAAATTAGGCAATACCAGCGCCGGCCGCGCCCGAACACAGGTCAAGGAAGGAAGGGGAAGGATTGTGTTGACATGACACTCGCTTTGATGGAAGCCGAGAACACCTCTGCACTTCCACGAGGAATCACTGGGATGTTGGATAAGAGGGTTGGGTTTGCCGCAGGGTTCGTTTTGGTAAACGATAAGCTGAATTGATGTCCTAACGATCGTATAACGCGAAGGAGCTTGAGACTAAGCCCACGGTCTTCTGCTCAGTAAGCAAAAACGTTTGCCACTAGGCAGACAAGCACCTTTTTAATCACCGAGTTGCTGTTATTACCATGTAGTCATATTAACAAATAAAACGATTGACGAATTTTGAATGATGAGCCTGAGATTAGACTCATGATGTTCTGCTCAGTAAGCAAAAACGGATGCTCTAAGGCCACCGAGCCCCTCATATCACATAATACCGTTGCTCAAATTTGTGTATCCATTCAAACCCGGAACCAACAACAACAACGAGTTTCGCAAAATACACGATACACAAGCGATTTTACTATAAATCTCTTTGATATGTAAGGACCTGGGACCGCGTTTTTCTGCTCAGTAAGCAGGCCACTGTAACCGACGATCTTTCAAATCCGAAAACTAAAAACTACGAAAAAGTACTTGGGCCTTCACTAAGTTCCACTTTCACGCGACGTTCAATGACAGGGTCCTATCCAGGATTACACCTGAAAAATCCAAATCTGGCCAACGCCCACCTAAACCTGTTCTAATCCACCTGAAATGACTAACGAATGGAAGACTTTGACTACCCAGTCATGCAATAGTCTCATTCCGTGCCTTATGGCAACTTGATGATTCTATTACGCTCATCTTTTGGCACCACCCAGGGGAGACTTGATCCTGTACCCATTGCTTAACTTATCTTCATTCCACTCAGCTACTCGCAATTTCTTGTGATATAGTGGGCGGAATATTATTATATGAGACAATTCAATGCAGACGTCTTTCCAAATTTGGCAGATCGACAGGTAATCGGTGAGTTACCACGATAGTTGCTATTCAACAACTCGACAACGTCCCATCGTCAACGCCTGCTATGAGAATTTCCCATTGCAGACGCCAACGAAATGACGTCATCGAGCTATCGATCAACTACCCTGGTTATCGCCTGGTACCTTATAGCACGATGCTAAGAGGCGAACCGGAAGAATCGACGAGCTACCTCTCCACCACAGGAAAACAGTCAACGTTTATAAAGTTTTTAAATAATAAATAAATCAGATCAGAGCAAACAACGGAACAAAGGCGCTTCTATCGCTCTCAATGGGGTTTTTTCAGCACATAATTCGACATTCCGTTTTATTCAGCATTGTACACTGTTATACAGCATTTATTCAATATGTATGCTTATTTGTGACTCTGAATTGTTTGTTGGGTAGGCATGTTAGGGACAGCGATTGGCACATATTTTGGCACGGATTCAGGTGTGCAGAGTTGAATACCCCTTGATCTGAAGCCATTTTGCTTTATCCTATTCCGTTTAGTTTTAAGACGGCATTAAGGGGGATTTCCGGTTCAATTGACCTAAACTTTGGATTTTTTTCCAGGGAACTGGTAAGAGTTAGAGACCTGAGTTTTTTGTCAAATCTTTATTCATTCTTGCTCTACAACTGGGAATTTTTTCAAGTCCAAAAATCCAAAATGGCGTCCAATATGGCGGCTGCCCGGCGGGTACTTCCCAAAACTGCGAGCAGCCTAGAGGTCGCAAATCGTCACCTAGAAAGAAAATCGGCTCAGTTTCTAGAAGAGTATAGTTTGGGTTTCGGTTAGACGACCCACGTCGATGCTGTGCTTCGGCCAGCTCAACAGGTAGCTATAGTTAGCGGTTTAGACACCATACTGGATGATGATCTTACCGAGAACTTGGATCTGCTCGGGTTCACTGTGGCATTTGTGAAGAGCACTGGTCATGTTGATGAAAATCTCCATCAATTCATCCACTGATTATTTGGTGGTCTCCAGAATCCAGGGGGGAATGGACAGCTTTGTTCAACAGCCATAGTAGCACGCTTGTCACAAATCAATTATAGAAACTTATATACGACTTATTTCAGTCATAAACAAGTTGCTGAAACTTATTGTGATGAAATTTTGCTACTCGGGAGAAGATCCAGACGTTTCTTGATGATGGCGGATCACACCCTTGAATTCGCTTGTCTATGAAGAGGCGGAAAATCGTCCGCCCTGAAAGCCGGGCCGTATCCTTCCTTTGTCCTGGTTGATTTTTGGTGGATGCCTGTTTTCGGATGTGCTTGAAATTCTCGCGTTTAGGGCACTGTTGGATCCTTGGTGAGCACCACCACAGTTGGTACATTTAGACGCCACAGCTTCATCCGCAGCACATTCGAAGGTGGTGTGGTTTTGAGCGCAATTGCCGCAGCGTGGCTTAATGTTGCAGTTGCGGCTGCAGTGTGCAAAGCTCAGATACTGTTGACATTGAGTCAAATAGCGATGACCATCACGGTATGGCTACCAGCGGACGATGATGGAATTGATGGAGCGGATGGCTTTCAGCGCGTTGAGCGTCACCGTTCCCTTCTGGAAGTGTACCAGTACCCTCCTCGTCATTCGATAGACAGTACTTGGGGCCAGCATGTACCAGTCCCTGATTTTAGCTTCGATAAACTTCGGGTAGAAGTTCGGTAGGCCCCTGATGATAACCTTGAATGGTTTCTCACCGAGAATAAAGAATCCCACCTTGGAAGTCCTCAGGTGGATGACGACCAGGTCATACTCCGCTTTCGTACGGCACCACCTTGATGCCGACTCTGCCCAACTTGAATTCGGCTTTGACGCTCAGCGGCGCCAGATCCACGATGAGCTCGTTAAGATGGGAATTTTCCACTACCAGCGGAGGTAGCTTCACTTTTGCCGCGCTCATTTCGGCAGCATTTCGGCAGCATTTCCGGTTTTGGCAGCGTCACCAAAATCTCCAACATCACTGCCGTTCGTCGCAGTGAGATCGGCGCGACAAACCGTGCTGTCGGACTGGTCCCGATTATTCTTGCTCTTCTTGCTACGCTTTTCAGTCACAGCTGGCTGAGTATTCACATCAATGGGAAGAACAGCAAACATGTTCGATATAAGGGAGAACAGCCCATAATGCACCCCTGGGGTAAAATGCCCACTTTTAGAAAAACAGCGATAATTTTTCTTCAGATGCATTTTCCGGGTAACGGTTTGTGATTGTTTTCAACTGGAGGTGTCACAAATAATTCTTGATCATAAAATCATGTATTGACCTACTGATTCCTTAAAAAAATTGCATTTTGTGCAAAACAGGACACAGTTGTTAAAATCATCGACTGTAAATTAAGCTTTTATCATCATGTACCACAAAAAAAAATTAAAAAATTTACGTTTCGTATATTTTTTAGATATTTTACAAGATGACTCACAGTTTAACATTCTTTTGAGATTTTGAGACCTTATTTCTGATGTAACATAAAGAAATAATCATTTGAAATACCGCATCCCTTTGCATTATCTACTTGCAGGGGTTATGGTTTGCTTACCATGGGGTGCATTTTACCCCAATGTTGTGGTGCGTTTTGGCCATTGTTGTCGTGCGTCTTGTCCCAATGTTGTGGTGCATATTGCATCATGAATCAGGCGTTTTGCCCCGCTATCATTTTGGAAGCAATTTAGAAAATACCTTGAAAGTCATGGAAAATCATTCTTTTGTAGTTCTAAATCACTCGATATTTGTAGAAAACATGGTAATGAACCAAACGCCATTACTTTCTTCTTGATTTTAGCTTCCATTCGCCAGCCATTGACGATTTTGCTTAAAGGGTGCGTTTTGCACCGTCCTACCCTACGTACACCCGAGCTTCCTTCACCGGGCTTCGCGAGCGATGCTTTCCCATTTTGGGGCACACACACAAAACCACGCAAGAGAGAGCGTGAACACTATCGCAACTAACTTTCCGAACAACTCAAGGGAGCGAGCTAAACCGAACTGAACTGCTTGACGGTCAAGCAGAGAATTATTTCTGAGCGCAGGCACCGACATCGCTCTCTTATTTAGTGGTTGCTGGTTGACTGCAATCGTGACTCAAAATGGATGGTGCAATATATTGAAGCCTTGAGGTAGGAATGCTGCTGGCCATTAATTGATTTTTTACGTTGGATTACGTCTTTTGGCAACATATTCGGGGAGCAATTTAAAAAAAATCTATCCCGTTACAAAAAGTGGTCAGGTTTTGACCACTTATAACTCTGTCAATAGCGGATGGATTTTAATTCTATACATGCCAATCGATTGGTAATTTACAAAGCTGCCAAAACGAATATCTTATCAATTTTAACAGGTCACTATTGAAATTACACAAATGGGCAACTGTTGCAATGGTGATCAAAATTATTACCCATTACCTGCAAATAGTGGTTTCCCTAACATAGTCGCCAAATATTGATACCGAGCACGTAATCCTACGTCAATCTGCGGTCGAGTCTTGGATACAACCTCTTACTTTTTTATTTACACGATGTATCCTGGCATCCCTTAACTCGACGCAAAATGGATTCCGTTGCACATCCTTCTTTTTAGAAACAGTTAGAAAAGATTGTTATCTCTCTTTACTCTTCACCCAGTCACGAAGCTACTACTGCAAGTGGTGATGGATGTTTCAGGTCGCGTTCGGGTTTATAGCAAAAATCTTGAAACTCAAACTCACCACAGTTTGGTGAATATGGCGAGATTTGTTGGCTTGCTATTTGGAGCAACGATGTCAAGGCTTGTAAAATCAACCGCTGATTTTTACTTGTTTAGGAAAAATCTGTCCACGAAAATCAAGCATGATTCTTTTTTTAATTTTCTCAACACTGGATAGCGGAATAAGCTTTTAACATGTAATAGCACACAACGTATCAATAACATCATAATATGTTCATAGTAAAACTAGACATAATTTTGCTCTGGTTTGGCTATTCCCCTCTGTCCAGGTACCTTTTTTTCTAACCATCTAATCATCATCCTACGTACTTCAGTGGCCATACCCACCCACGACGGAAGCTTTATCACATCATCAACTGCATCCATGTAGATCTTACTTAGGAGCATAAAAACAGACCCCCGAGGATAATTAGATCCATAATTCACGGACAGAGCAAGCAAAGTGCGGCAGCATAGCAGGAAGCTTGTTTTTCTGCAGTTTGTTTTATTACATATTTGTTTTTCACCATCATCCACGATATTGGGTAAAGCCATGGTCCGAGCAAGCAAAGCGATAAAAATGATAAATTTTCGCAGAACCCCACCCTATAAATTGGCGAAGCTGCTTCACCCGCTTACCTATATCTTCTCAGCTATAGTTACGTGCCCGTTCGATTGCAATTTCGGTTTTCTGGTAAGGGAGATGGCTTTTCTGTTTGCATTGATATGGCTCGGGGTTCCGGAGAAATCTATGGAATCGATGCTCTGCCATGGTGAAGCCAATGTTGGATGTTGGTCGGAGCGAGAAATTCGCTTCGAACGGTCATTTTGACGAAGCGATGATAGTGACACTGGGTGAGGGGTGGGTTTTGCTGATAGAAAGATGTATGCTTTCTTCTAAGAACATCGGAAAAAATGATTTCGGAGCTATCTTTGACCGATTGATTCTTGCCTATGATAAACAGATTTAATGGTTGTTATGTGAATAGGTGGTTTTCCGTTCGAAGAATCATGTTATTACTTTGTGGCAATAGGGATGATAGTTCTAGAGAGGAATGAATATCAGTGCAGTTCTATTTCAGGCATGTCAGTTAATTTTAGTCGATTTGAAATGTTCAACAAGGATTGTCAGGATGCTTTCATTCCAGCCATCATTAGCAAAAATTTCAGACTAAATAATCTTCTCTGCATTTCTTACGTTTCAACATTCGCATCCGTATGCTCAGTTTCGATGGGTAGCCCAATTCATTTTCCATCAAGCAAATTCTAGAAAATGTAACCATCCAACCTGTTTTTTTTTTATTGGTTGATGGTGTGCAAGGAATCGTACTTCCACATAATCATTCAACGATTCTCTGGCTCTGGTGCAGTTGCAAATTGAATTGACCACACTTGGCGTAAAACACAATGAGAATGTGAAGAAAATAATGTTCAGCGGTGGTTGGTGGTGCGATGGCTGCAGGATGCTCTCGACGCTAATCGTTCGTTTTGCTATCAAATTCTGAGGAAAATAATTGCTCTGATGAGATAGGAACGAACCTAACGATGGTGTGAGAACTAATTAAGAGCATCTCTGCAAATAAAGTGGTTGTTACGTTCGGAGGTTTGATTGTTTTCGTTGAAAATTGTTGAAAAGCACATCATTTGAGGTTCAGTTTACAGAAGAATCCATGAGATAATCTTTTGTTTTTTTACAAAGACTACATCTTAAGCGAAGATACAGGTGGTAAATTGAAAATATAAAATTGCAACCGTCACGAAAAGGTGTCAGGTTTTGAACGCTTATAACTTTGTCATTTATAGATGAAATCAAAATCCAAACACACCAATTTATAGAAATGAACTGTATGAGCCTGGAGTTATTCCCGTTCCCGTTGGGGTCACTTTTAGTTGGCATTCGGTTTTTACAAATCTTGGCCAGTAATGGCCTTATTGAGAGTCCATGGTCACACTAGCCCTCCCGGGAATGTTCTGGTGCCCCCGGGGAAGTGGCCAATTCTCAACAAGAAACAAAACCCATCGTGCGACGTATGAAACTTTATGATTTAACACATCTTGGCCGGTAATGGCCTTATTGAGAGTCCATGGTCACACTAGCCCTCCCAGACATGTTCTGGTGCCCCCGGTGAAGTGGCCAATTCTTAACAAGAACCAAAACCCATCGTGGGAAATATCAAACATCATGATTTGACAAATTTTGGCCAGTAATGGCCTTATTGAGAGTCCATGGTCACACTAGCCCTCCCGGGAATGTTCGGGTGCCCCGGGGAAGTGGAAAATTCTCAACAAGAACCAAAACCCATCGTGCGACATATCAAAATTCATGATTTTAAAAAACTTGGCCGGTAATGGTCTTAATGAGACTCGTCGGTCACACTAGCCCTCCCGGGAATGTTCCCCGGTCAAGTGGCCGATTCTCCACAAGAACCAAAACACGTTATGCGAGATATCAAACTTTATGATTATTTCCATTTCGTCAAGACAGTGTAGACTACATACAATGATTATTACAATGTTTACTTACATACATTATGCATTAATTCTATTCTGTTTTAGCTTAGTTTTTATTTGCTGCTTGGACATAGTGATGTCAATAGTTCCGCAATGCAAATTATGTAGGCGCATCATTTGATTGATTGGGCTATTTTTTGCATTGTTTGTTCTGTACGATGTTTCTGAAAATAAATTCCGTGTTCTCAGATATCGACAAGGTGTGTAAAAGTTTAATTGTGTGAGAATTTCTGCCGAATCTATGCGCATTGAAATAATGTCGTTGATGAAGAAAAGCATTGCAAATTGGCGGCGCTCCTTAAGTGTTTGTATATTGATGAGCATGCAGCGCGCTTTCATAAGATGGTAATGGCAATGCAGTCCAATTCAATTTACGTAAAGTATATAAAAGGAATTGTTTTTGGACAGATTCTATGCGTTCTTCGTGTATGGAAATGTATGGATTCCATACTAGGTGGCAGTATTCCAGAATTGGCCTTACACATGTGGTAAATAATAGCTTAATAGTGTATGGGTCTTCGAAATTATGACTGAACCTTTTGATGAAGCCTAGCATTCTGTTTGCTTTACTAATGATAGTATTATAATGTTCCATAAAAGTTAGTTTGGAGTCTAGGATTACACCTAGATCTCTTACAATTTTGCTTTTTTTCTACTATTTGGTTGCCTGATGATATTTCAATGTGCGGTGTTTCAATTTTTCTGCTAAATGCAATTGCAGTACATTTTTTTACGTTCAGTTGAAGCAGACTTTTACTACACCAGGTGTGGAGATTTCATTCTGGAATTCTTCTGCATCGCTAGAATTACTTATTTCCATAAAGAGCTTCATGTCGTCTGCATATAAAAGCAATTTTATTTTTTTTTTAAG